TTTTAATGACGTAAGCTGGCTTGGGTCCCTTTTAAGGAGAAAGGCAAGGTAGGTAGGTAGGTAGGTAGGTAGGTAGGTAGGTAGGTAGGTAGGTAGGTAGGTAGGTAGGTAGGTAGGTAGGTAGGTAGGTAGGTAGGTAGGTAGGTAGGTAGGTAGGTAGGTAGGTAGGTAGGTAGGTAGGTAGGTAGGTAGGTAGGTAGGTAGGTAGGTAGGTAGGTAGGTAGGTAGGTAGGTAGGTAGGTAGGTAGGTAGGTAGGTAGGTAGGTAGGTAGGTAGGTAGGTAGGTAGGTAGGTAGGTAGGTAGGTAGGTAGGTAGGTAGGTAGGTAGGTAGGTAGGTAGGTAGGTAGGTAGGTAGGTAGGTAGGTAGGTAGGTAGGTAGGTAGGTAGGTAGGTAGGTAGGTAGGTAGGTAGGTAGGTAGGTAGGTAGGTAGGTAGGTAGGTAGGTAGGTAGGTAGGTAGGTAGGTAGGTAGGTAGGTAGGTAGGTAGGTAGGTAGGTAGGTAGGTAGGTAGGTAGGTAGGTAGGTAGGTAGGTAGGTAGGTAGGTAGGTAGGTAGGTAGGTAGGTAGGTAGGTAGGTAGGTAGGTAGGTAGGTAGGTAGGTAGGTAGGTAGGTAGGTAGGTAGGTAGGTAGGTAGGTAGGTAGGTAGGTAGGTAGGTAGGTAGGTAGGTAGGTAGGTTCATCGTGTCTTTGGGAAAAAAAGAAGAAAATTAATATGGCCAAAGGTAGATCTCACATGATTTAAATGGCTAGATTTGCATAGTCCTAGCTAAGTTGGAGTTTTCTTTTTAAAAAGTGGATGAGTGCTTGATTGGAACTGCAGATTTAAAAAAAAGTGATAAAATGAGGAACTGCAAAGAGAGTAGCCGTTGTCATTCAGCCTGTGGTCCCAGTGTTTTCTTTCCAACTCAGAATCCTAGCAGAAAAGGTGTGTGTGTGGGGGGTAAATTTTGTTTCTTCCAAAGTGGCTGCAGAAATAGCAAGCTATTTACTGAAGCCCGTTTTAATTAATTCCCTGTGTGATTCAAAACTAACTTGGTATTATTGTTTCCTTACAGTATAATTAATCACCGGTAATAATTTATTTTATGTAGATTCCTGAGGTTAAACGTGGGCAAAGCAATTCATTTAAAAAAGAGAGAGATGGGAGTTAATAACATCTAAAAGATTTGCCACAAATATGGAAAGATGCATGTAAAGGCTAGTGACTGATGTCTTCAGTGTTTTATCTGTTAAACTTGGGAGCTTAAATCTGGGTCACGTCCCAGCTGAAAAACATTGGCTGGTGTTTGATCATTTCCCAGTGATTCATATTTTCTGAGTGAAAAGACACAGTATTTGTTTATGTTCCAGATAAGATGCTAGTCATCAGTAAGTGGGGAATTCTGAAGAGGACAGGATTCCAGGAACAAATTATTTTGATATTAAACCACGCCATGCACTTCTTATTGTAGTGTTGATTTTTACTGATAAGTTTATAAATTTTGGGTGTAACTGGTTTGAAGTTGGGATGTGATTTTCACAGCCTTTTGCTGAGGGTGGCAAGAATCACTTGTTTCTTCTCATAATGAGATTTCTGTGTGTGAGATTATTTCCCAGAGGAATCTTGTGGGAAAATCTCTTGGATTACCCCGATGGTTTGTGGTTATTTGTTCTGGAGGAAATGCCAAGCTGCAGAGGATTATTAAAATTCCTGCACACCGTAGCTTTTTTCCAGCACAGGAGTCACCTGGAAAGAAGTGAACAAATTCCAGCCTGTGCAGAACGGTTACAATGGCTGTGTAGAATGCTGGATTCTCCAAAAGTTCCTTAAACTGAGCAAAATTAGAATGTTTTCCTGAGCCGAAAAGAAATGAGAAGGGGAATGGGAAATCTTGGCATGCTGGGACTGGAGGGGATGACAAATTGTGTTAAGTACTCCTGACAAGCAGCAGATTTGTGAGCATCTAGAAAATAAGAAGGTGATGACTAGACGCCAGCATGAGTTGGTTAAGAACAGGTCATGCCAAACAAATCTTACTGCCTTCTTTGATAAAGTGGCTAAATTAGTGGACCCTGGAAATGCAGTGGATATAGTATAGTTAGACTTCAGTAAGGCATTTGATAAGGTAGGCCACAACCTTCTTCTGCGCAAGGCAGAACAAAGTGGGATGGACAACGCGACTACCAGATGGATTTGTAGCTGGCTAACCAACCGCACTCAACGTGTGGTCCTCAATGGAACCACATCTGCATGGAGGGAAGTGTGCAGTGGGGACCCTCAAGGTTCTGCCTTGGGCCCAGTGCTCTTTGACATCTTCATCAGTGACCTGAATGATGGGGATTGAAGGAGCGCTCATCAGATTTGCTGACGACACCAAGTTGGGGGGAATGGCTAATCCTTTGGAAGATAGACTCAACATTCAGAAGGATCTCGACAGACTTGAACCTTGGGCCCTATCCAATAAGATGGAGTTCAGTGGCGGGAAAAGTAAGGTCCTGTACTTAGGCAGGAGAAACCAGATAGAGACACAGGTACAGGACAGGGGGTACCTGGCTCAACAGGAGTACCTGTGAGAGGGATTTAGGGGTCCTGATGGACCTCTGCCTGAGAATGAATCAGCCGTGTGCAGAAGCTGCCAAGAAAGCCAACACATCCCAAGAGGGGGATCAGCATCAAGATCACGGGAAGTGATAGTAACCCTCGATGCCGCGCTGGTGAGGTCAGCATCAAGATCACAGGAAGTGATAGTAACCCTCGATACCACGCTGGTGAGGCTGCACTTGGAGTGCTGTGTCCAGTTCTGGTCACCGCAATGCAAAAAAGACGCCGAGGCCCTGGAAGAGGTTGCAGAGAAGAGCAACAGAGACGATAAGGGGACTGGAGGCTAAATCCTACAAAGAATGACTCAAAGAACTAGGGATGTTGAGCTTAATGAATGGAAGACTGAGGGGAGACGGGAGAGCCGTCTTCCAAGATCTGAAGGGTTGCCACAGGGAAGAGGGCATTGATTTATTCTCCATTGGACAAGAACCGATGGGTGGAAACTCGTCAGAGGGAGATCCAACCTGGAAAGGAGGCATTTCCTGACGGTGAGAACCGTGAAGCGGTTGCAGAAATAACAAGCTATTTACTGAAGCGGTCTCAGGTCTGCCTTGAGCAGGGGGTTGGACTAGATGACCTCCAAAGTGTCTTCCAATTCTTATGATTCTACGATTCTATGATATGACAAAATGTAAAGCATTACTTTAAGCTAAACTGAGCACTGCAAGGATATTATTCACGTCGACACATAATGAAATAATAATTGCATGCTTGCAAGTCAGTTCTGACTTTTGGTGACCCTTTGTACGCTAAATTGAGCACTGCGAGGATATTATTCACGTTGACACATAATGAAATAATAATTGCATGCTTGCAAGTCAGTTCTGACTTTTGGTGACCCTTTTCGGGGCTTTCCAGGTAAAGAATACTCAGAAGTTGTTTTTCATTTCATTCTGTTTGGAGGGTGCATTGGGACTGTGCAGCTTGCCCAAGGCCACATAGGCTGGCTCTTCTCCCAGGAGGCACTGTGCAGAATTGAACTCCCAGCCTTTGACTCTGCAGCCAGATAGATAATATTTAGGCATCCTTCAGTCTCGAAAGACTATGGTAACGTGCTCTGTATGGAGGACTTGGAACAGTGTCTAGTGTGGCTGAGGAGGCCAATTCGAGAGTGGTTTTGCTGCTTTTGTGACTTCCTCTTTGCCTCAGCCTGCTGGACAAGGGTCTCTTCAAATTGGGAGATTTTCCTATGAGAGCGGTTCTTAAGTCAAAATGTTCTTAACTCAAGTCGTTCTTAAGTCAAGACCGCACTGTAATTGCATGCTTGCAAGTCAATTCTGACTTACGGTGACCCTTTTTCAGAGCTTTCCAGGTAAAGAATGCTCAGAAGTTGTTTTCCATTTCATTCTGTTTGGAGGGTGCATTGGGATTGTGCCCAAGGCCACACAGGCTGGCTCTTCTCCCAGGAGGCACTGTGCAGAATTGAACTCCCAGCCTTTGACTCTGCAGCCAGATAGATACACAAACCACTGAACTAACCAGCCAACTTAAATGAATATTAGTTTACAATAAGAGTGGAATTATACTAATTACAAACTGATTGTTTAAATGCTCATCTTTATCAAGGGGCTGGTGTGTGTGTGCGTGCACGTGTGCACGCGTGTGCTTTGGCCATAGGAAGCAGTTGTTCTTAATCACCTCCAGTTTTCCAGATATGGAGGGGGTGAGATCCCCAGAGAAATAAGGGTGTTGAAGGAGCAGTTGGCTTCTAAGGTGCAACAGGCAGCCCACAGTCTACACCAGCGATGGCAAACCTATGGCATGCGTGCCACAGCTGGCATGCAGAGCCCTTTTTGCGGGCACACAAACCGCCAAACCTGAGAAGCCGGCTGCAGCCGCGGTGCTGGCACTTCGGCAGGTAGATCCGGAGCAGCTGGTGGTTCCTTCCCAATCAGGTGGTCTTCCTGATCAGGTAGACTGAAAATTCCCATCATTTTCACTCAGTCAGGGATGGTGGCAGTTGTAGTCGTCCAGTGTTTTGGGACGGGACAGACTGGGGAAGGCCAGTCGAGGAATAAATAAAGCATCTGATGCTGCCTGGGGCTCTCAGACAGGAGGTCCGACCGGGCCAGTGTTGTCAGTCTTGACAACAAGTGTTCTCCAGGAGTGTAGGTGAGAGCCTTTGCCCAGCCCTGTCCGGAGACACCCGAGGACTGAAAACTAGCCCCTCCGCATGCAAAGCAATTGGACGACCCCTCGGCTGCAGACCCCCGAACGTGAAGTATCCTGTAGCGTATAGCATAGGAAGTGCCCATTGAAAAATGAGCGTGGGGTAGAATGATTAGCCAATTAGAAGGCCCCCTTCTCCCCATATATTAACCTGACTGTTTTAATTTATTAGCGAAGCAGAAGTCCATTCTTTGGGGTGCCTTCTCGTGATTAATATTCTTGCTTCTTTTTGTGTTGTTTCAACAAAGGGAGAACCGGCCACGCGGAAGTCGTGCGAGTAGTATTTCATGCAGAAGCCATCAGCTATGAGAAACTGCTCAAGGTCTTCTGGGAGAATCATGACCCGACACAAGGTAGAGTGATGAGCGAGCCAGTATTTAATTATCTTACTAATTACAGCTGGGATAATTAGTGTTCGAGCTGCTCGGAGGAGATGAACCTTGAAATCGCACCGCAGCAGCTCGAGAGGATGATTGTAGGCATTTATTGATGGGGTGGGGAAGAATATGAGGAACTCGATGCTCACAATGCTGGCTTTTTTCCCACCCCCCACAGATGTCTGTGCTGCGAAAATTCCCACAGAGAGCGGGCACGAGACAATAGATATTCCTCTCACCTTTGATTATTAGTTTTCTTCTTTAATGCAAGCTTTTGTCTTTCAAATTAAAGTCCTCTCTTTTTTTTAACCACCGCTTCACAGTTGATATTTTCACTCAGGCACCGAAGAGCCTTTATCTTTTGGTGGGCTCCGGGGTTTTTCATCTTCTCAGAATTGCCACAGGTACCTCTTTATGAGGAGAGAAGATGAGAGAAAGGGCTGAAAGCAGGGAGATTGGAAGCCATTAGTAGTGGAGCGTCGGAGAATGGTCTCAACTGATATTTTGGGCTCAAGAGATCATTCGCTGAGTGAAAAGAAGCTTCTTGCACAGCAGGGTTGGGAATAGATGAGTCTGTCTGTTTCGCTTTCTAAAAAAAATGTGTGTGTGTTTTTCCCCCCAAAGTCCAACTTTGTTTCATACTATTTCAGCATAGATTTGCTTTGAAAAGAGAGCGAGCGACAGAAAGTTTGCACAGAAATTCATTTTGATTTTTTGTGAGGATGAAAATATCCTGTATTTTTCCATGTATAAAACTACACTTTTTCTTAAAATAATTAGAGGAAAAATTGAGGGTCGTTTTACACATGGTAGTATATAATTTTGTGAAGAAAGTGGAGGGGGAAAGCAGGAATCAAAGCGCCTGGGTGGTGGTGTTATACCTGAGTGCGTCTTATGCATGGAAAAATATGGTATATGCATTTTGTAGGCAGTTTTTCCTCAGATATGCTTTCTGTGCCAGCATAGGTCCCTCATGTGTATGCATGGCTGTTCACATTTTGTAGGCAGTTTTTCCTCGGATATGCTTTCTGTGCCAGCATAGGTCTCTCATGTGTATGCATGCCTGTTCATTCTTTTTTTTTTTTAAGAGAGAGGCTATGCAGAATTTACATAACTGCAAAGACCAAAGGTTAACCATGTTGCACTTTGTCTGTTTGGAAAAGGTGAATTAAATTGAAATATAATCCATGCAAACACCACTGCAACTCTTAAACAGAAATGAGCAAGTGTTTCATGGTGACTCGGAAGGCAGTTTCAGCTTTTTGCCCACGCTAACTCCTTCTGTGTATTAAGAACTTCAACTGAACCTTTTTCTTCTTACTCCCTTCCCCACCCAACTGTATAATTCAACCACAATGGCAAAAGATTTTATTTTATTTTATTCAGCACTAGGACCCTGGCTTGAAGAGGCTTCCTCGGTGCCAGTTTGCCATTCTTTGGGCATCGGGTGAAAAAGTTTTTATTTAGCCAAGCTTTTATTATTGTTGCTGCTACAGAATTGTACACATCATTTATGCTCTCTGTTTTGTGGGTTTGGCGACCATTGAGTTTTGCAAAGGTAATGCTGAATCATTTCCTCCTGTACAAAGGAGTTTTTCTGCCTCATGGGCAGGACATTAACCCTTGTGTTTTTGTTTGTTGGTTGGTTGGCTTGTTTTTGTTTTTAACACTGCCCTGTTGGATTACACCCAAATGCCACCAAGACCAACCTTTGTTGAAACAACACAAAAAAACAATCCAGAAGAGACGTGGTGGAGCTGCAAGTTAAACCGCAGAAGCCTCTGGGCTGCAAGGTCAGAAGACCAGCAGTCGTAAGATCAACTCCAAACTCCCGTCACTTGTCCCAGCTCCTGCCAACCGAGCTGTTCGAAAGCATGTAAAAATGCGAGTAGATAAAGAGGTACCACCACAGTGGGAAGGTAACTGCATTCCGTGTCTAGTCACGCTGGCCATGTGACCATGGAAACTGTCTCCGGACCAGCGCTGGCTCTACGGCTTGGAGGCGGGGATGAGCACCACGCCCTAGAGTCGCACACGACTGGACTAAATGTCAAGGGGAATCATTACCTTTGCCTAAGGTAACAATCACCCCATTCATCCCCATTCTTTTGTCCAGCAGCTGGTATTCAGAGACGGACTGCTTACGCATCCAGAGGCCGTTCGTTGCGGAGACGGAGGAAGTACAGAGATGTCACCCTTCATTCACTGGGAGCGGAGGGTTTGGTTAGGGACTCCGATCTACAGGGCTGCAGGCCCTCTGTGTCGAGCAGCAGGGCAGGCAAGACAGGTGCTGAAGGACTGCTACCTGCTTCCTCTAGTCAGCAAGATGCAGTCAAGACTCCTCAGCAACGGGCTCTCTGGTTTTCCATCCTGCTGCACCGCTAGCTGGCCATTTTGCCCAAGCCCAACCCAGCTTCTTTACTCTGAGTTGTTGCTATTGAGTCGTTAAGTCGTGTCTGACTCTTCGCCCACTAGCTGGCTGTTTTGCCTTAGCCCAACCCAGCTTCTTTACTCTGAATTGTTGCTGTTGAGTCGTTAAGTCGTGCCCGACTGTTCATGACCCCATGGACCAGAGCACGCCAGGTCCTCCTGTCTTCCGCTGCCTCCCGGAGTTGGGTCAAATTCATGTTGGTCGCTTCGGTGACCCTGTCCAACCATCTCGTCCTCTGTCGTCCCCTTCTCCTCTTGCCTTCACTGTTTCCCAACATCAGGGTCTTTTCCAGGGAGTCTTCTCTTCTCATGAGAAGGCCAAAGTATAGGAGCCTCTTTTTTCCCCTCAAAATGGCTGCCTTTTGTAACCAGCGTTTGAAGAAACAGCTGGAGATTCCTGAGGGTGGTATCTCTGCTCCAGTGAGTATGAGGACAAAGCATGCCCTTTGACGACCCTTCCTGCGTTTTCCTTGACCAGCAGAGGAAGTGCCTCTGATTCCCACCACACCCTCCCTTTCTGAAACACTTCACGCTCGTCTCTACCCTGTGGAAGCAGGAGCAGAAACGTCCTAGCATCCCGGCTGCCTTCAGAAGGCCTTTGGAACCCCACAGTCTGACCTCAGCAACTGAGGATGAGGGAACCATGTTGAAATCCAAGCCAAATGTATGGACTCTGTTTACCTTGGGTGCGGGGCTGGCACTGAGCAACCAAAGCAGCATTCAGAAAAAAAATCCCTCACTTCTTTTCTTAAGCACCACATGGCCGACTTCATAGGCACAGCATTTTCTTCCTCTGATTTTTTTTCGTTGCTGCCACATCTCCTTTTCCTTAAAAAGTCTGTTGGTTTGTCACTGGTGCGAAAGGCTGCGCCCTTTTACGAATGCTGTGTGAGGAATCTATCGTCTGCAAATAATCAGAATTAGATACTAGAAATTACGTTGTTTTTCTAATGAGCAGATGTGTCTACTTAGAGGAGTAGAACGCACACAAAATGCAAAAGTAGGCCTTAGCCCACTACAATGCATTTTGCTATAAGTCTGCTGCCTCATAGAAAGGGGAGGGTGGAAGATTTTTACATCAGCTGCACTGATTTCCGTATTTCTTCAAGCACGCTTCCTCTAAAGCCTTCGAAAATTCTATGCAAAATTGTCTGGTGCTTTCTGTAACAAATACAGTAACAAGGCTCACATTTGGTCCAAACTGAAAGCTCAGGTTCATTCCTGAGTGCGTTCCTTGCAGTTTGTTCAGGCTTCTTCAAGTGATCCTGCAAAAGCCTTCCCATGTGCCAGATGCACCTTTCTCTTTCTATTTTATTCCTTCAGTCTTCTCTGAAGAAAACACAAGTCATGGGCCGGGGCGTGGACTCACCTCCATCTATCACCATCTCCACACAAGAAATGGAGGTTGTTCATGACTTTGTGTACCTTGGCTCAACCATCTCTGACACCCTCTCTCTGGATGTCGAGCTGGATAAACGCATTGGCAAAGCAGCTACCATATTTTCTAGACTCACAAAGAGAGTATGGCTTAATAAGAAGCTGACGACACATACCAAGATCCAGGTCTATAGAGCCTTGTGTCCTGAGCACACTCCTGTACTGCAGTGAGTCCTGGACCCTTTGTGCATGGCAGGAGAGAAAGCTGAACATGTTCCATATGCGTTGTCTCCAATGCATTTTTGGTATCACCTGACAGAACAAAGTTCTAAATAAAGTAGTCGTAGAACGAGCTGGAATTTTTAGCATGCCTACATTACTGAAACAGCAACATCTACGTTGGCTCAGGCATGTCATGAGAATGGCTGACGGTCGGATTCCAAAAGATCTTGTATGGAGAATGAGTGCAGGGAAATCTCCCCAGAGGGAGACCACAGCTGCGATACAAGGACATCTGCAAGCGGGATCTGAAGGCCTTAGGAATGGACCTCAACAGATGGGAAACCTTGACCTCTGAGTGTTCAGCCCGGAGGCAGGCGGTACATCGTGGCCTCTCCCAATTTGAAGAGACCCTTGTCCAGCAGGCCGAGGCAAAGAGGCAGTCCCGAAAGCAGCCAGATCAGGGAGCTGGACAGGGCAGTGGTTCTTAACCTTTGTTACTCGGATGTTTTTGAACTGCAACTCCCAGAAACCCCAGCCAGCACAGTTAGTGGTGAAGGCTTCTGGGAGTTGCAGTCCAAAACTCCTGAGTAACGCAAGGTTAAGAACTAGTGGGACAGGGGACAGATTGGATTTGTCTTTAGTGTGGAAGGGATGGTCACTCTCGAATTGGCCTTCTCAGCCACACTAGACCCTGTTCCAAGTCCTCCATTCAGAGCACGTTCCCATCGTCTGTGGAGACGGAAGGATGCCACAATGCCTTCTCGTAGCTCTAATCAGTCTCCACGAAGAGAGTATAACAGTGAGAGCAATGGAAAGATGTTCTCTGTGGTGAGATACAAAGGGGGGGGGGGAACTGTGCTGTGGCCTGGCCCTTTTCTTCTTGTTCTTGTTCTTCTTTGCCTGAACAAGGCTCGGTCATTCTTGAGTGTGCCATAAAAACAAGCAGT